GGTTTGTTTGTATTTTTTCAAATGACATATTTTACTAAATATATATTTATCTGATAAATTTTGTGATATTTGCTTGTTTACTACTTGAATTTTTTACTATAAAATGAATTATTAATTCTGTGTTTCATATTTAGATAAAAATTCCTAATATAAAAAGATAATATTTTATTTCACAAAGTTTCATATATGACTGGTCACACCGTGTGGCCAGGTTTATTTGTTCAGGAGTTACTCAGTTGGTCAAGGGTTACTTAATCGATCAGGGTTACTCGGACGATCAAGGTTACTCGGTTCAGTGTTTTGGTGTGTCTCAGCCGCCACACGATATGGCCAGCCACACAGAAAACGCGTTGATTTTATTTTTATAATTAATATAAAATTTTAGATCTAAAATAAATTGCAATTCTTTTTTTTCATTGGCTAAAATATAACATTTTCCTATGTGACGCTCTAATAAATTTTTATTTATTATTATATTCCTACGTAGCGCTTTAAAAATACTAATCTTACGTGGCATAATGCTATTGTAGTGTTTTAAAAATATTAATCCTACGTAGCGTTTATTTTCTTATAATCTTACGTAGCGCTTTAAAAAAACTAATCTTACGTGGCATGATCCGATTGTAGCGTTTTAAAAATATTAATCCTGCGTGGCGCTCTAATAATTTTTTAAAAGTTAAAATCCTACGTGGCGCTCTAAAAACTCGGGAAAAAACTCCCTTATATATATATATATATATATATATATATATATATATATATATATATATATATATATATATATATATATATATATATATATATATATATATATATATATATATATATATATATATATATATATATATATATATATATATACTAGTCTTATGCCCGAGCGATGCCCAGATGGTTGATAAAAGGGTTTAGGATAAACTTTTTGGATTGAATGTTAAATACGATCATATAATCCCTTTTGATAATGCAGGATATTTAGACATATTGAATTGAAATATTTTTTATTAAATTGAAATTATTTTTACTGAACTAAAAGTAATTTTACCAAAACAAAAATTATTTTTCACGATTAAATTTTTTTTCACTAATTCTCTATTATTTTTGTAAATAAATTAAATATACTATAAATGGATCTTATTTTAAAGAATTTTTTAAAACGAATTTTATGATGGAAATAGTGCCGAATTATAAGATATTTAATAAAAGTTAAGATTAATTTTGTATATATGAAATATTAGAAGTATATCGATAATAAAACACTACAACTTTTTTATTTTTAAAAATTTATCCAAATTTCGTTTACTTATCATCATATGTGTCACAATAATACCTATTTGTCGCCTACGTGGCGTGACACTTGGCAAAAAATTGGAATGTCAAGTGTCGCTATCTCTTGTCCTGGCTGCGAGACCGGCTTTATATGATATGATATTAGATTTTAGCTAGACTTTTAGATATTAGTAAATCTAATCTATTAACTATTACTAAAACAAAACATTGCTGACATCATAAACCCTCAAACTATATCCAACGTGTCATTCTCACATTAAAGTTTTTCCCTCCAATTCTATATGTGACGTCATCAATTATTAATGATTTTTTATTTTCATTTTTAATCTACGCTTTTGACTTCAATGCATAAGTGTCTATATAAAATTCAATTAACCAAGTTTCTCTCTTAAATTATAGTTTCACATACCTAATTTGTTTGATGTTTGATCGTGGTTTCAATTTTTTTTTTTTTTTTTTTACTTTCGTTAAATGTAAATTATTTTTTATGTTTAATTCTAATCTTCATATACAATAATGTAATGCAACAGAATATAAATTACAAGAAACATTAATTCTAACTGGGGGATAACCTAGTAACATACTATAATGGAATGTGCAATATCGCCAATATATATACACTTGTTCCCCAAAAAAAAATGAAAAGGTCGTCATATAATAAAACATGTTCCTTGGTTCGTTGTGTCTTGGAGCAGACTGTCCACGCATCATCAAACACACCATGCTCCTCCGTATATAATTTCTGATAGAATATTTCAATTTTTGTGATTTGTGATAAGTTAGATTTTTAATAAAGAGAAACAGTCTTAAAGCGAAAGAAGACATGGGAGTTAGCATGTTAAACTGTGTATGTATCAAATTATCAAAAGACATGTCCGATATGATGGACTATATATAAAGCGCGAGCAAGTGAGTCAAGGAATTGATTCTTATATACGTACCTTCGACCTTATGCCTAAGATGGTATCTAATTGTATTGTATGTGATTAGGCCGTACGTTTCCACAAATTCTTCATAGTGTCATCAAGACGTGCGTTCATTGCTATTATACGCGCTAAGAGCTAGGAGCGAGCTCTGTCAAATGCACGCCAAATGCCTTCAATGAACGAACGGCTTCAAGTATGGTTGGTGAGTTGGTTATCTATACGACGAGCTTTTATAATCAAGCTTCCGTCAAGTTTCATTGCATTTCTATATGTCAATCGAACTCCACTGTAATTGATTTCGCGAAGCCATTGCGTGCATGAAGATGTATTATTGTGTCACAAAGGATAACGCTATTATTTTCTCCTAAAGGATAAGTTGCATTCGATTCTCTTTTGGTTCTTCATGATTAGTGTTTAAACATTGTTAATTTGAGCACACATCTTTACCGGATCCAATTCTCTATGGTTTCATTATAGTTAAATTTAAACACTATTTGACTATTTTTCATATTGATATTACATAGTTGGTGCATGTATTATCTCAAATTTATACAGAGATAAAAGCATTATATTATATTACCTCCGTTTTTTTTTGACACATTTTGACTTTGAGCATTATTCACATAACCTACTTTGATTTCATTTTGTGATTTAGTGTTAAATAAATACATATATAGTCATGTGGGATCTTGTTAAATTCATCTCAATATCTACTTTCTAAATATACGTAACTAAAGAAATTTATATTTAAAAGTATGTGTTGACAAACGTGCTAAATGAAATGTGTCAACTAATAAAAAAAACAGAGGAAGTATGATGTTATTATTCGATATTTTTATGAGCCATCATGGAGCCATGGCCAATATAATTTAAAATATATCTTCTTTCAAACACACAATGATTAATAGCTTGATTACTGTGCATATTATGATGTAATTAGGCTAATTAATTATCCTATTTCTCGACACCATGTTTTGTTAATTTTGTAATGGTGAGAATATTGGGAGCACCTTTATGACTAAGAACACTAATATGTAGGTGCATCAATTAGATTAAAATATAAAAAGTTAACAGTAATTCAGTAAAACTAATTCTAACCTACTGCAATTAACACTAATTCCAACACTAATAGTGGTACTGGTGAATGAAGTTTAACGGTACACTAATATTCAATAATTTGAAGTTACAAGCAATGGCGGATCTATGTTACGTTTTTATGGATGGTGGATCGCCACTGTCCACTGACCGCATACCTATCAATAACAATGCGATGTTAAAAAAGTACAAATTAAATAAGGAATAGTAAATTTTTTCATATACAAACCAAACAGATTAAACAAATCCAATATATAGCTAAAATTTGAATTAGATTAAACAATTCAATATATAGCTACAATTTGAATTAAGTTAAACAATTCAATTTATTTAAACTATGATTTTTGATAATCATGCATCAATCATTTGATTAGCTAGCATATCATCAACCATTTAACTTAGCTAGTATATAATTATCAACCATTAAATACTAAATCAGAATGTTCTATTATTGTCCATTCAATTTTCCATGACCAAGTGCCGACCAAAACCTAGGAGAGGGGCCAAGAAACAAGAGTTATTTAACCTAAAAAAACAATAAGTAGGTAACAATCGACAATAAAAAATAAAACTCAATACTGCAACATCAGGTGTGAAATAAAATTGCTGAACTTTATCAAAAAAAAAAAAGAAAGTAAAACTTATTAGTAGCCAAGCCAAATAGCCAATGTTCACAAAAGATTTCGCCTTAGCCACCCTCGTGGTTAAGAGTTTGTTCTCTATCCCCACCATATTTAAACTTATTTCATGGAAAAAAGTTTTGATAAACTAAGTTCAGTACCAAATTCAAATAAGAACATAAAGGGGTATTCAAGTTTAATTCTACAATAAGTTAATTAATAATAAAAGTTCATATAAGGGGAAATTAGGTAAAAAGGATGCACCTTAAATATAAGTTTTCAGATAATAAGTTATGACAACAAATTTTCGGGTAAAATGAGCAAATTTTTGATTAACTACTAGTCGACGTCACTATGAAACATGTTATTTAACTTCATATGTTTTAAAATAATCCATTATTTTTACAATTTTATTCAAATGAAATGTTATCAAGGGTGGTAAACATTTTTTGTTAACTTTATTACTTCATTTGAGTATATGAATTTATAGTATTTTGAAACATAAAAGATTATAATAAAAGATAAAAAAAAATTACCTTAGTTTTTTTCGCACGAGTGCAAGCTAAAATGCAAAATTACACGTTCAAAGAGGAAAAAAAATAAAAAAATAGACATTCAAAGAAAGATTAATGTGCAAAACGTGGTCGCGGGCCTAGTATGGACTTCAAGTACTCCAATTTGGCTCGAATAATGTTTGCCCGCAAGCCTTTGTTTTATGTATTTCTTTATATGTACTCTTTGTCAAAAAAAAATAATAAAAAAAATAAAAAAAAATTCAAAGAGAGATTAATGCTTTGCACCAAAAACTAGAGAGAGAAAGTCCTAACCTTTAAAAAATGAAGTAGCTAAGTAATTTTGGGTAGAGGTGTCAAAACCACATCTGACCCGACCCGAAAAATATCCGATTCAGATTTGAACTCGCGTGGATATAATAATTTAGCATGACTCAACTTTAAAAATTGACCTGATCCAATCCAACCTCATTAGATCATCAGACTCGATCCGATCATCCGAATTGACACCTCTAATTTTGGGTCATACTAAATGGGCTTGACCATACATGAATAATTGAATACTATTGGATCTTATTTTTAGGGTTTGGACCATAACCCCCATTTCAATTCAACTGTCCAGCCCAACGCCATTCCACACCCTCTGCTCTCTCTCTCCTCCGCCTCTTGCTGTGCGTCAATGGCGTTTCGATATCGGAACCTCCGACGAGTTTCGACTATCTTGCCTCGACTCTTCTCAGGTCAATTTCAAACTACTTACTTCAAATTCACAGAAATAATTTCCGTAATTTGTTCATGTTTTTGTAGTGTTTGTTTGATTGAACTTTGAGTGTTTTTTAGAATTTGTTTTCATTTTTAGTAGTTAGCAGCTGAATTTTAGCTAAATTAGTGATTGGTTGATATTATTTGAAGAAGAACTTATAGATATTATTCAGTTTGATTGCTAATTCTTTTTAACAATATTACAATATGTTTCATTTTTAATTGTTGCTCATATTTTTTGGTTGCTAATTCTTTTTAACAATGTTACGATATGTTTCATTTTTAATTGTTGCTCATATTTTTATATTATTTATCAAGTTAAACAACTTATGTTCTATCATAGTGGTAGAAGTTGATCTAGTAATGGAAATTTGTTTAGTATGTAGTTGTAATTTGTAAACTTATAATGCTAATGTACTTCCATTTATCCTGCTCAAATGTATCAATAGAGCTTGGGCTACGGCGTAATTTGATTTTTTTTTGCTTAGTGATTTGATTTGGGACCGAATTTCGCCTTTATATGCGCTGCTGAAGTTCAAGTGGAGCATTTAAAAGTATAACAACTTTTTTGCAATTTGTTTCACCTTCAAGCATCATGTTTGTCGATATTTAAATTATGCAACAAAGGACTTGTTGAGATTATTTGACCTTTTTGATCATGTATATTTTTGCCTAGGCAAAGGAGTAATTATGTGGTTAGCTAGCTTGAAGCTGTATTTAATTTACTGAAGCTTATTGTTTTAGGTAAATTCTGTATGATGCTCTTATAGTATTGGCCTTTTCGTTTAGTACCATTCGGTACACAAATTAATATTGGATCCATTCAACTACTTTCAATCTTTGTAGGGGATTGATAATTTGATATATTTATTAATTCAGTAAGATTGGGCTATTTATGAGGAGGTAACGATGAATAAAGTTGAATTCCGTATGTAAGAAATATGCCTTGAATCTGATTTCGGGTCTTGGAGTAGAGAACGATAGCTCGCGAGGTAATTCAGAAGTTCGTAGGCAATTGTGGAGTTGCGACGAAAGTGGAGCTATAGCTCCTAGGCGATAGCTCGCGGAGGTATGTAGGTGCGGTGGAGCCGCTCGGTCGCGTACAACTCAGAAAGTCGCGCGCAAGTTTGGAAGTTGCGCTCGGAGGGTCAGCGCAACTATGAGAGTTGTGAGCAACTTTTAATGAGGCGGTCAGCGATTTTCCGCCCGTTTATCTATCATATTCCGGAGTACTATATATACCCCCTTAGGGTTATTCATAGCCATATGATCATTAGTTAAGTGATTATTCAAGAGAGTCTTTTGTGTATTTCTCATCAATGAGTTGTGAGAGAGATAACATTGCAATTCTAAGAGACAATCAATCTGTTTTCTGTGATTGGTCTCATAATCTGTATTCCTCAAGATCAATAAACTATTAATCCCGCCTGCCCGTGGACGTAGCCAATGCATTGTTGGTAAACCACGTAAATATGTGTGTTTTTCTTGTTAATTTTACATATAATATTTGTTTTTTCTTGCATCCGTTATAACATCGTATTTTAGAGTTGGGGCTTAAGAATCTTGTGAATTTTTTCTTTATGTTTTGTTTTTATTTCCTCAAGCTGAAAATGCTTTCAATTACTCCCTCCGTATTTTATTACTTGCTCCATTTCTCCATGCGTGGAGTTTTAGGAGGAGTAGTGGAAAGTAATAAAATATGATGGAAGTGGGGTTGGTTGAATTTTAAAAAAAGAAAAAGTGAGTATAAGTGGGAAGGAGAGAGAATATGATATATATTAAAATATGATATGAGGGGACCACTAGTAGGAGGGAAACCGTAAAATATTGTTTAAATTTTCCAAAAAAGGAAATGGAGCAAGTAATAAAATACGGCCGCAAAAGGAAAGTGGAGTAAGTAATTAAATACGGAGCGAGTATCAGATTAGAAAAAGATTTAATTGGAATATCCTATCAGGGATCATAATTGTGTGTCATTGCTGCATTGTTTTTACTTTGCTATTGACGCTATGTATGGACAAAGTTGGTGATTGACATTTTCTCTTCTCATCAGGCCAACGATGTCAACATTGTGGAGATGCAACTAATATAGCTTCTGGTTCAATTTCATTGGCACATACATTAGAAAAGTTTGATACGATTGGTGAATGGAGAAGTGTGCAAGTCTCAAGGTGGATACTCATGCTCCCTTTGTTCTCCTCTATATGTGTATTTATTGTCTTCTTATTTCATTTCCTTGATACCAAGGGCTAGGGCATGTGAGAGGTGTATTAGCTTTTGTTCGAAGTGGATGATTGAATAATCATGTTTCTGCTATTTTGTGTGTGTGTGTGTGTGTGTGTGTGTGTGTGTTTTTTTTTAAAAACTTTTAATTCTTTTTGTTATCCTCCTTTGTGCAACTCTTTGGTAAAGTGATTGCATTGTTGTGATGTGGAATTTTTCTTTTCCTTATAAAGTGATGAGCTTTGGGTCGAATGCTTGCCTGCTTGGAGGATACCTGTATGTGTTTGAGGTAGTGTTTGTTGTTAAATGGTTGTATTAAACAAGTCAAAGAAGGTTTATTTCATCGTGACTAACTTTATCAAGTACAATGTGTTAATTTGCTAACCGTCCTAAATGACCAGTGGCAGTTATTTTCAGGTTATCAACTGTAGCGGAGATATCAAAGGAGGTTCCTCATGAAGTGGATCTAACTGCATATATTAGGTCGACCTTTGATCATGTGGAAGGTTTGTATTTGATATCTTCATTGATTTAAGCTCTTGTTGCTGCACTTTTTCTTTCTTGACTTATTAAGTTTGTTGATAGATGACAATGAAATGTCTCATCTACTTGGTATTTTCCATTGCTGGGATTAGAGCACTTACATATTATTCTTCAACACTTGGATTCTGATTTTGATTGATGCTTTAACATGGGAGGTTCATGTGGCTTGTAAATCCTTCATCAATCAATCAATCAATCAATCAAAGCCTTAATCCCATAAGTGGGGTAGGCTATATGAACCAAAAGTGATTATTCCGTGTAGTCATCGACAAAAATCTTCCTCCATTCCTTACAATCTAATGCCTCATCCTCATGTAAATCCATATACTTCATATCCTTCCTAACTCCTTCCAACCAAGTCACATTAATTAGCTATCAACAGCTTCAGGCCATCCATTGTAACCTGTACTTTGACTGAAGTCTTTTTTCATCATAGCTTTTCCTTTCAACTTTGCTTAGACAATTCAAATAAATTGTACATTGGCATTGCTATATTTTATTGAAGGTGAGCATTTTTCTTGAAGGTTTTTGCTAACTGTAGCCATGAGGTACTTAAAATAGTTGAAACATATAATAATACAACTTAATGATAATTAGCTTATATTTTTCGAACATATTAGCATAATGGGAAATATATTTGTTGCTTAACCATGGCCCTAAGAGCTACGGTTGCTTTGGTTGGCAAAATCAGTGTTATATGCATGCTTGAGAATTCTTTCCATGCATTTGCTTATAATGCACGCTCAGTGTATTTTCTATTTCGTGTTTACCTTACATTTTAAAGTGGTTGCGAATCTTTACAGTCCTTTATACAAAGTCTCTGTATGGTATTCTGTCAAGTAATCTCCTGTTGGCCAAGATATTCTTACAACCTTTTTACTTATAATTTGGAGTTTTGATTTTTATTTTCTGTGTGAGATTAGTGCTTGTTACTCTTGCTTACTATTTTACCTTATTGTCAATCAGGCCCTTCTCATCGTTGGTTAAATATATCTGCTAAAAGCACGGAGTTCTTTAACAAAGATGGCGCCTTTCTGCTTGTTGCTGGAGGATTTTTGGATTATCCTCCGGGATCTCAAGGTGATCGAATTCATATGCTTCAAAAAGTGAAGTTACTTCAGCAGAGGTAGGAGCATATAATAGTTCTGTGAGCTTGTAATTGATCATTTTATTGTAAATTTCCATATCAATATCAAAAGGTGGGATGAGGGGTGGGTGACTTTTTTTGCAACTTGCAGCCACCTTATGCTATGTAGTTTGCTGGATTTCTGCAATTAATTGCTGGTGTTTGTTAATTTTTCTTTAACACCACAACCTAAAATCATGACATTCATTATATGCCAATTTCTATGTAAAACATTATTATGCATATGGATTTCAGTGTCTCTATTTTGAGCATGTCAAGGGACTATCTACTAAATTAAAGTCTAAATTTTTGATCCACTGTGGGAAAAGAAACACGAAGAGATGTTGGCCTTTCGCTATTTATTGCATAGATGCTATGATACATGGACCGGGGATGTTAGACTATGAGTTATTCTTGGCATCTTGGGTATTTCACCCTTGGTGATATGGGGGAAGGATTGTAGTTTGTAGAGGAACTAGGAATGTCAAAAAAAAGAAAGTTTGCGCATGTTAGTTGAAGCAAAATTACGATTCACGAGAATGGGATGGAGTGTAAAGTTAGAGCTTAGGCTATGTTCTCTTCACCTTATTCTAAAAGCTTATATTCTTATTTAGACAACATCATATCAGACTAGAATATTTTATTTCAGACTAGACCATATTTTCTGTTTCTTTTTGTCAAATATCTTTAATTTTGTAAACTACCTCCGTTTCACATTTTTTGCAACTTTGGAGTCGACACGGACTCCTAGGCAAAAAATGAGAAATGGAGATTAAGAAAAGAGAGGGGCATTTGATTAAGGAAGGAGAGGGAAAATGGGGATAAATTAATAAGTAACCACCCAGCAACACCAAACACCAGCCTCACAGGCACCGCCCAACCACCACACACTCACCCTGTAGCCACCACACACCCAAAACCTAAAACCCATCTTGTAGCCACCACCACTTGCACAAACCCGAAACCATCTACACACCACGCCGCGCCGCAACCACACCACCCAAAACCTAAAACCTACCCAACAATCACCACACAGCCACCCCGTAAAACACCCACACAAATTAAACCCAAACCACTTACCCTAGCCAACCAAAAAATCATATCACACCCTCATTGAAAAACCCACCTCGCACTAAATTCGTTCGTAAATGGCCGTTTAAACCACCACCATACATAGCGAACTTTCCGATATTGTACTCCACGCAAAGATCTCCGCCATCCCGGTATTTTGGCTTTGTGGGAAGAGAGAGAGAGAGAGTCAGATTGAAGGATAGAGTAAGAAAATATGGAATTGAAGAAGAACTTCAAGAATTTGGTTTGAATTCTGGAAAAAATTAATGAGGGTAGAATGATGTTCGGTGAATTGAATTGGTGTTGGCTGGGGGGGATTGAATTAGTTTTGATGGAAATAATTAAATTAATTAAGTTAGATTAGTATTTTATTAAGTTTTGTTTTAAGTAATTAATTGAGTTTATGAAAATTTTAGTAAGGTTGTTTTAGTAGTTTCATTTAAAAAACTTTACTAAAAATGGAAAATTTTGGAAAGTTGCAAAAAATGTGTAATGGGCGTTTTTGTCAAAAGTTGCAAAAAATGTGAAACAGAGGTAGTACCTAAAAATTAGATATTTAAAATAAATATCAATAAGAATCTGATAATATCCCACTTATTTGTTTTTTATATATTTTTTTAATATGTTGGTGTGTGTAAATACTAAATATGGTCAAAGCTTAGTCAAACCATGAGATCAAATCAGACCATACTAGAATTAGGTGAAGAGAACATAGCTTGATTGAATAGTCATGGGGTATGAATTAATTTTTTTTTTTTTTTTAAAAGGACTCTTCTGGTAAAATTTATGATGATGATGTACCGTGTACACTCCCATTGATTGCATAGTATTAAGCTGTATCTTCCTTGATTTACCAGGAAACGATTGCTTATATCTTATTCCTACAATGCTCTTCTTTTTGATTCCTCATTAAATTGTTATGTTAAAGGGTAATCCAAGCGATTAAAGCTCACTTAGTCATAGTATTGTTGATTTGTTTTGTTATCCTTAATTTACTCCTATTTTGGTACTGGGCAGTGTAATTCTGTATTAATGTGAAAATGAGAAGTTATTGGGCGAAATTCCCTCTCTTTTATTTTACTTTATTTTAATTTTTATCCCCTCGAGTTAAATATTGAAAGTTTATCATCTTATCTGTTCTATATTTTCCCCTCATCATGTCAGGTACCCATGGCTCCATGTTTTCGGTTTCCAGTCTTGCTCCTCAATATGTTCCACTGCTGATTATGATCACCTTATCAATGTTATCATGGAAGAATACATTACTTTCCCAATTTTATTGTGCAATAAGATATTCCCCGAGGTTTGGTTCAAATCTTTGCTGCTATATTGAGGTTTTCATATGAAGCTCATGACTTGTGAGTACACAAAATTCCACATTAGTGCTAAAATACTGATAATATGGTGTCCGGGCCTTATAAAGCTGTAACCATAAGCTTAGCGTGGCTAGTTTTAGTGTAGGTGGAGGTCCTCATAGGAATCTGAACAGCTGTTATTTAAATTGAAATCTATTTTTGGCTCCCTGAATAGCTGAACCAATCATTCACCCTATCATGAACTTAATGTCTCTGTGTCATACAGGATTCCCGACCGAGAGACAATCTACCTCTCCCTGTTTGTTCTTCTCGTACATTTGTTTAACTCCCTAGTTTAAAATTCTACAGGGTATCGGTATCTGCTTTAAAATTGTCCTCTATCCTGATGAAAGAATTCTGTAGAAGGTTTGGATACAGCCCAATTTGAGCTTCAACTTTTTATTATTTTGAGGGTGAATAAAGTCTTCTCCGAGTACCTTATATGCTCTCTTTCGAACAGATGACATGGCACCTTTTAGTTGGTTCTGTGCTATGTCAGCTTTTAAGTTCTACATGCAGACTTCCTTTCAGGTTCTAGCAGTCTGCATTAGTTAGTACAGAAGGAGCTGATAACTAATTTCTTGCACCATGCAGCCATCCTATAATTTTTTCCTCATGGGGCTTTATGGTAACACAAGTATTAAATAGCAAATTGCTTCTGCTTTCCAGTTACTGGATGGTCTAGAAAAGAAATGGTTCCAATACATTTGAGAATCATTTCATGACATCACCTTGTCCTCTGTACTGTAGTATCTTCAAGGGATGTCACCTTTGAAAGAGCTGAAAACTGAGAATTGATTAATTGGTAATATTGAAGGGTTGCTGACCACTCCAATTAGCCTGAAGAATCATCTTGATCCATTCCTTACCTTAATGCTCTCTATTGTGAGAAATAATTTAAAGTCATAATATTTGCATTCCAGACACCAACACCATCTGTATAAGAGTTGTTTTTTGCTGCACCATCTCAATTCCTCTACTCCAAATTGTGGCATGGATGACTTTATTCTGAAGAGCATCTTCTTTATTACAAGATTCTAAGTCTTCACAAACTTGTAGTCATCCAAATGTTTGTTCCCGGAACCATATACTGCAAACTTGTAGACATGTATTGGAGTGTTGAAATTGATTGACGTGCGTGCTAGGTCTAACTTTCATGATTGTTAATTTGTTATAGTGTAGAATTTTCTTCTTTAAGCAACCAAGATGTTGGTTCTTTCTACCTTGTTCATTCTGGATTTTATTTATCCTTACTACTTTTTTTTTCCTAGGTGGCTGCTGGGCCTTGCTGTATGCTATTGAAAAATCTCAAAGAGCTCCCATTATATCATGAAAGGGACATTGATTTGACTATACTAAATGGAGGTATGTGTTTCATTTCATTGCAGTATTATGTTATCTTTTAGTTTGATTGATCCATGTAAAATGGAATTATGGCTTTCTGTTAATCTTGTTATCTGATTGATGAGAAATTCCTAAAGTTGGATAAAAATTTAGATTTCTATGAGGACAATAAACATCTGTTTTGAATTTCTTTAAAGTTGGTAGTGTTTTGCTTTGGGTTTCCCTGGACACAGTGTGCTTGAACTTCCTTGCAATCCTTGTTGGTTGGGGCTTGGCATATTTGCATGCATGCCCTTTTCTTCATTGCCTTTTTCTCTCTGTTGACTATTCTGGAATGCAGTATATGGTTCCTGGAAATTGGCATGGATAGGAGAACCCAATAATGAAATCGCCCAAGCTATAGCAAAAGGAATCGGAAGAATACCTTTTTTCCAATTTTTCCCACATGAGCATAATGCATGGTGCCTAAAATATCACCACACTATCTGTCTAAAACAGTTATCAAGTACTACCTTGATAAGTTGATAGATCATTGAACTATAACAACCCTTCATAATACTTCTGGTTTTACAAGTATATGACTTGGACATCCCTTGACACTAGGTTGATATCTGTGCACAATTGCAAACATGTTTGAGAAGTACTAATTAGATCCGTTGATCATGGTACCACCAGAAGTATTGTAACTACTATCAGTGCTCCTTCTAGAAGTAGTGTTTTTGGTCTATTTAATCCAGCATTTAGTTTTCCCTTGTCAACTTGGTGGTCTAAAGTTTGCAGCCTTTTGTACCTTATATGCAGTTATCAAAGACTTGAGTGAGCTGCATGCCAAGAACACTAATAATGCCAGTAAGTTGAACAGTACTTGGTCTAAACTTCGTGAGGGCTTCAAGGAACCTCGTGCTTGTTCTTCACTGAAGAATTTGTTTCTTTATTTTCCAGGTAAGCTTTTGGGAATTGATTCTAATGGATTCCTCTCTTTTTTGTACATAAGAAATTAAATTGATTTTTATTCCAAATTGTATCTCTAGATCACTCTGGAAATTGACTATGGAATAGCTTCCTTTGCGTACTTTTCCTGTTCCCTGCCTAATTTAAAACATGCATGCCCCCTTAGCCAAAAGTTTCTAGGGTGAAACATATTGACACTCTGCCTTTTCATTTCATATTGTAATGACTGTTCTCACTAAATATGTATTAGTGTATTACCTGAAGTTGAGGAAGTTTTCTCAGGATGCTAAGTTTTACCCTTTCTATTCTTATTTTCTGGAAAACAGAAACCAACACTTTTATTATATGGCTTGAATCAGGCTTGTAACTATTTACTAATGCAAATTTCTAAAGCCAAATCTGAGTATCTAGTTGCTTTTAAACCCTTTTTGGTATTTTGCAGAATTGTTATTCTAAAATAATCTCTCAATTGCAGCTTGCATTTCAGCTGATGGTTCTCGCAGTAGATTATTCCTTTCTGACAGCAATCATCATCGAGTAATTGTATCTGACTGCAACGGGATGATTTTGGACGTGGTATGTATGAATTGAATTATTTGTTACTAAATTTTACATTTTTTAAATTACTTAACTGCCATTTTTCATATTTGATTGAGAGCTGGTGATATAAATAGGGAATGTTTGATCACATAATTCAATTTGGGTTATTACTTATTTGACCAGATTTCTTATCTAGATTGTCACTGTTTATTGTTTACTATATGAGCATGTTTCTGAAAACGCTTTAGGACTGGACTGGACTTCACTTTCTATACATCAACCCCACAATAGCTAGCGTTGGATGATTGTATTCGATTTTAGAATCACTGGAGTTCTGCTTCATAGCTCTAAAGTTAATTTTCACTTTTCAGTTCCTTCCTGTATGAGATGAAAGAGGTTTGTTTTGTTTTGTTATTTTTAAGGCTCTATGTTTTCTGAAAGCTCTGCTCTTTGACCATTAATAAACTATTTTTTGGATATGATACAAAATTCTATTGCTGATATAGAGTCTAAGTTCAAACTTACAGCTTTTATATGTCAGATCGGTTCTTCCCCAGGTTTCGAGGATGGAGACTTTGAAACTGCCAAACTAATGAGGCCTGCAGCTTCCTATTATCATGCTTCAGAGGATTGTCTGTACATAGTGGACTCAGAGGTAGAATTTATTTGGATCCTACATTTAGGTTGCATTTATTAATTCTTCACGCTCTTTTTCCTCATTTACTAAATGTTATTTTTCTGTTTGGTGGGTGACTATACATACTGTTTTTTCCCCCTAAAATTAATGATGTATTGTAAAGTTTTGCCTGTATGAAACAATTATTTCCTGTGTCTTACATCACTTTGAAACCTTATTAATGCAAAGAATTTTAGGAGATAAGTTGTAAATGAGTTATCGTTATATTAATGATAAAGTAGATGTGATGAGAGTTAGTGGGGTATATATAACATTATTTCAATGGAAGTATAGGTGTGAAAGAAGACAGTTAACTAAAGGAAAAGGTTTGAATTGATTAATCATTGGTGGTACCTTGCCAAAAAGGAAGTGTTCAAAGTTTTCAAATTGTTGTATATGTGGGACAAATAAAATGAGTTAGTGTTTAAACTAATTGGGACAGAGCTAGACTGCTAGAGTATTTCTTATGATGTAATATCTTCAAATCCAACAAATGTTAAGGTTTATTTTTCCATTAAATTTGAAGTCTAATGGAAGAATTTAAGTTGGGGAAAAGCGGTTTGTAATGAGCAGAACTAATATGTTATTGAGCCTTCTTTATCTGTGTTAGTACATTGTATAGGAGTTTGTAAGTCTTGTTCATCCTTTCCTGTTCTAATGTGGTACTTCTTCCATAACATAAAAGACCAAAGTCACACTGTCCCATAAATATGAAACATTTCTTAATAACTTACTAAATTCACATGATGTCATTTTCCTCAAATAGTATACTCGCATTGGATTGTTCACATTAAAAGACATTTATCGAATAAAAAGTTGAATTCTGGTCAACTGGCTGTACAAATTCCAAGTGTTACTGTCATAATTTGAGGTTCTATTTAACTTTTTACATTATGTTTCCCCACATTTTTTTTTGTTGGTAGGGATGCATTTGATGATCTTCTCCCATTATATTCTGATCACTTTGGCTAGCTATGAAATTACTTTCTCTCTCTTATTTATGAAGAATCATGCTATCCGAAGAGCTGATATTGGCAGAAGAGTGCTAGAAACACTGTATCCAATCTGCAACGATGACAAAGCGAAAAGTGGATTGTGGTCATGGATCTTGGATAAGCTGGGGCTCAGAAGAGATGCTGGCATGATGTCTGTAGATTTTGATTCAGAATCACTGTTATTTCCTTGGCATTTGTTAAAGTCCTCAGATGATGATCTTTTAATCATGAACAAATCGTAAGCTATTATCTTTTGACGTCTCAAGGCTTTACTCTTATCTTTATGTGACACTACATTTATAGTGCAATACCATCTTCTTTATGTTCAACATCAAATTCGATTACAAGTGTTTATAAAATCAAGCCAAGAGGCCAAAGAGACTAGCTTTCATTGATTGTTTTTCATGTGGATATCAATTTGACATATTTGTATGTAAATGTGTTTGTGTGCAGTTTTAACAGTATGTGGATCATGGATACGAGTTCTGGCATGATCTGCAATGTAGTCAAAGGTATTATAAAATGGCTTTGTAAATTTCCTTATGTTTTATTAAAAATCTTCTGTTGAACTGTGATATCTGATATGGCTTTCTATTCTCATGTTTATATTTTACCTTCCTAAAGGGCATGCAGCTATAATGGAGCTATGTGGCCAGCAGATCATTGAAAAGGTTTCACAATTGGAAGATGTTTCTCCTGATTTTCTTCAGCAGCTGGTTTATTCTAGTTACTCATTAGGTGGCATCCCATATTCTGGGTTTGTCTCCTCATTTGTTGCTTTGGGAGACCGTTTGCTTATCTGTGATACAGGTAAGAGTATTTTTATTTCAACATTACTTTCTCATTGTTATGACCTTCAATTCATATTTATGTTTAAGCTTGAAATGGTTTCTGAAGTTGCTCAGAGGATTTTAATGATGAATAAACAAGCTGATTCTTCTTCAAGCTTTGAATTCTCAAATCTTGGAATTCTTGCCCAGCCTTACTGGTTATCTTTTCCTTTGGAGAGAGCTTTTACCACGTAAGTTCATGCAAATCTGTCACCTTATTTAAGATTTTGAAGATGTATATTTTTATACTTTAAACATTACAGGGGCGATGTTTATGAGGAAGCTCATATTGATCATTTTCAGACTTTCACATTGCTACCAGGTAATCTATTGTGAATAGTGTACTTCATTTTTTGTCCACTAAAGTTTCTTTCTGAGTATGGCCATTATGACTTTGGTTTATCTTTGGCAATGGTAACTTCATGAGAATTGATTTCCTGTGTCAAATACAGGAAAAATAGCCGTGCATTGTACCGTAGATATTCCTGGGACTGCAGAACTGGTAGAACCTCTGGAAGAATCTTGTGTATGGCGTCAAGTTAGAGGGGCTGCTATTGAAGTATTGGGAATGAATAACACTGCTGCAACTGCAGAGAAGGTTTTACAATCACTTTTATTTTCCCAATAAACTAGCAGCTTGCTTCTGTTATGTAAAAATCTTTTGCTCTATTTTATATCCCTTGGATTCTCATGAGAGGGATTCAGTATGCAAAGGTTTTACCAGATGTATCTTTATTTGCTTTTAGGTTGGTGTTGCTCAGCAGTGGTATGATGAGTTGGATAATCTTGCTTTCGAAGAAGAAACAGAGGTCTCTTTGGAAGAAAAAATAACTCCACGCATAGACTTGGAAGATGGCAAAATTCACATCAACTGTGCTGTCAATACAAGTCCTGGAACAAGTGAGGTACGTGTGCTTTCCCCTACCTTCCCACTCACTCTCCTGAAAAGGGAGGAAATGTTTTTCACTAAGGCGTATAAAATGAAGACGTTGGATGATACTTTTTCACTTAGTTCAACTGATGTCTGGTGAGTGTAGAAGCTAAGCCAGTTTGGCAAGAATTGTTTCAATGTTTCATTAATACATCAAGAATCAAGATACAGTTGTAACGGATGCTGAACTTTGTTTCGCTTCGTCTCACTTCAGAATTGTGGAGACTAGAAATCATTTGTGATATTTTATGACATGATTGTTTAGGCCTAGAAATTGATATCTTGTATGCAATATTTTACAGGTTTTCATTTTGGCTCCGCTCTACCTGAAACTGCATAGTATTTTAAAGACTTGCAAGGACACTCAAGAAAAGGCCGCAACAATAGCAGAGATTTTGAAACCTGATATAACAGGAAAGACTACAAGAGACGCATTTGTTCATTCATTATTAAATTTAAACAGGGATTTGGGGGAGCTTGTGTTTGTGAAACCATTGCGCATAAAGTTGAGATTTGAGATTATCAACCCCCAAAATCTGAGAATTCGAGGGACGTCATATTAACTGATTCAGCAGTTGATGTTAATGTATCTCTCAGCTAGTATATGGAGAATAGCAAGTGATATCAATGTATCATGTAGAATAGTCTTAAACGCTCCATGATAGTTTTTTTTTGGGTTGTGAACTTGTAATGGTTACCAATCTTACCATGTTCTAGATGTAGATAAACCATAAGTATTTGAGAAACCGGACTTCACTTTTTTTATTTTTCTGTGAAATTAGATGAAGGCTTTAAGATAGGCTGTCGAGTTGGTAGTTTGATAATTTTTATTTTTATTTTTTTGAAGAACGTAGTTTGATAATTTCAATAAATGTGATCTTGTTATTCAAGATTAATTTGTGATGATTTTGCATCTTATCTTGTGTTATATGTAGAACATATTGAGAAGCTTGGGGAAAGAGGCTTATAGTCTTACACTAGCATTTGATGTCGTCAGTTCTCAAACAAGGGCTGAAAAACATTACACTGTAATACTTCATGTTACTGTAATTTCCTCATCAGAGAAATATATGGAAATAATATTTCAAATATTGTGACTTTTTTCTTTTCATTTTTACATCAAAACAATTTCCTTGGTTTGTGATAAATCGATAGTTATTAAGTGAATAGGATAAAAGAAAATTGAAATTTACTCCGTAGTAATTTGGATTATACCTTTTCTCAGGTAATAGGGTCATCAAAGTTGCGGAGGGTTGAAAGTTCTTCAAGTTCTTCACAAGTGCCTAGTTGCCTACCAAGTAATATTTCCTATGGGCAGTTGGTCACCCTCATCCTTGTTCCATTCTTGTCTCAAATAGTCAAGTGCTCTCCATTTTTTTCTTTTAATTTCTCAAACAGCAGTTCATAATCCCCGTTCCATAATAACTGACATGTTTTTTCAAACTTGACACACTCGTCATAGTCGTCAATGTTGATGTATTAGTTTGGCCATTGATACAAGTATATGGATAATATAATCAAACAGAAGTAAAAAATATGATAAAGTTTACATTATAAGTTTGTAACACGTTATACCAATTTAACAATCTTTTATATGGAAAACATTTGTTTATAGTAAATTAGAAAAAAAAAAAAAAAACACTTTATTTAAAGTTTGTATATGAATAGTGTAAAAAGTCAAATTGTGTAAATTATTCTAGATTAGAGGATTAGAGGGAGTACAAAAACCACTTTGTACTCCGTTCCATATTCACATTTGATACTTCACCAGATCAACTTGATCTTTGCTATGTACACATTTACATAAACAAAGACATTTAATGTTGGATCTTGTTATATACGTCTAAACAAGGATTTTGGATTGAAAACTTCGTTACATCTCATACATGTATTACATAAGCAATAAATTTGACTATTTGTGGCCCTTTCAGTTAGAAAGAAAGGATTGTTATTTTTGAAGGTTGATCGAGTACGGCCTGTAACGGAAGCTCCCTCACACATCCACCAAAATAAATAAATAAAAATTATACTTTGTATCATAGTTCTATATGTGAAGAAATGGCATTGAAAACCAAGCCACTACCCACAATATCCTCTATTTTTCTTAATTATGCCCTAAATCTCAGTAATATTATTGATGGTGTCATTGGTGCAAAAGCATCGCTGAACTTCAGCTGCTAGTTCCTCCATGCTTAGTTGACATTCTAGCCCTATCTGTATCACATAAAATCCAAATTAACACAAATTAGTCATAGGAGAATCCGAGAATCAAATTATAGCATAATTTGATACTAAACACAAAATTTACTCCTTCTGTCACTTTTTAATCTTTACGCTTTGGCTATATTTTCTCATAAAAAAATCAGAAATCCAAACGTTAAAATAATTAAAAACTGACGGGAGTATTAAAAATTACATACAACATATTATCTTACATTTATTGAGAATATTATTTACTAAAAATGTGTAATACGTAGATTAGGTCATCACCCTTTTTACGTGTTATATATTATATGCCACCACTCAAGGTCAACCTAGCTAGCTATTAGACAAAAACTCACATTCTTATAAGTATATGTTTAGTTAGCTGTTTTTTTTTTAATGAACATGCTAATGGAGTTTGGTTCGCAAAATTTAGGTATAAGGTATAATTATGATAAAAGGGCTTTGTATATATACCTTGACGACGAAATAGTAGAGAACAGTGTCATCCATGCTACTAATATTCAAGTGAAGGATCTCAAACGAAAGCTTCTCTAGTGTACTTATTATCTTAAGTAATTGTCCATGAGTTCTCTTTGATATGACCCTCAACACAACGTTAGAACCCGAAATCTTGGCTTCAACATCAGCAACCGGTGAATTGCATGATGCTACTAGCTCCTTGCCACAATCAAATTGAAAGGAGTGGTTCGTGATGCTGTTGGCGTTTGCTAGTTGTCGCGGACTAGGCTGTAGTTGCTTCGGACTTGGGCCGGGGCTAGGGCTTAGGCTTTTCCTCCTCTTTTGTGACTCCAAGGATTGAAGAACTTGGTGCAACTCCTTTATGAATTCGACTACTCCACCGATGATTGATGCTTGATCACCCTTGATATTTCAAAGCATATATTATGAGATTTATATGTACATTATTCAAAGCATAATAACCAAATACATTAATGCAAACATAACACTAATATGAGATTATAATTGGATCTTCTAGATAAGCTAATTGATATCTTATATTAGGTGAATGATTACTATAATCTTGGATCAAGAAGCTAGGGTTTTTTACACATCCCATGCAGCTCTAACTATGGCCTAATTAACCTTTTCATTTCCTCAACACTAATTTGCATTTTTTCAATATATTTTGTTGTTATTTTTTATTTTTTATTTTTTGAACGGAATATTTTGTTGTTGTTAGAGAATGATATTAGCAACAAATTATTCTCAAATAATCACATACTATACGAAAGTCGTCTTTGTAAGATCAGAACATAAACGCACATCAATTAACATCATATATAGATAATGGATAGTCCACTGCTAATATGTAAGATCATAGTTAAGAAGGGAATCTTAAGATCCACTAAGTCACTAACCTATCTATAAGATGAATAATTTATCATGTTCCTTTAATAACATAACATCTCTTATTCACTAATTTTGAGTATTTTTCAACACACCCTCTTGCTCAAAATTTGTGATGCATATCTCATCATTTGTCGAACGTGATTTTGTCAACAGCCTATGTTTCACGGTAACTATACGGTGAAATGAATAAAAACAAATTTCCAAAAGAGCTGAGGTAATATTGTAATAACATAGTTCCTAGACACTTTAGACTATTTAACTATGGTCAAGTAATAAAGTAGCTAGAACTTGTAATATGCTTGTCATAAAAACCCTACAAACTAATTAAGATTAGAAGGTCACCTTGGTTCTATTGGATGGAAGCTATGGGCGATCTAAGGGATCGACATCGAAACTCTAAATCATGGTTAAAACCTCAAAGTATGCAGTCGTGCCCTAGCTAGGAAATCGATTTGTATTATCAAATAAATCTATTGAAAGCATGATGATTAAGGGATCAAGTCAACCAAAAGTTGATGGTTAAAGCCTAGCATCGGTTTACCTATGATATCATCTACAATTCATCCAAAGCTAGTTGTCACGTTGATGGCGTAATTTAGATCAGTAACGTGACAACTAAATCTAGATGAAAGTGGTAATAAATAAACTATTTCGATTTCTCGATTGATCGATGAAAGTGAAACATGTAGAGGAAGTATATTTACATACCTTCTTGATATAGAAGCAAGGTGTCAAGGAACGTAAAACCTTGAGATGGTCATTCATCTGCCTTCTCCTGTTCCTTTCAACTGTGATATGTGACATGATGTGAGTTGTCGGGGTTCGATGGCGACGGCGAAGATGATGTTTCCTTTGGTTGATATGCTCAGCCGCCATACAAGGGTTTTCCATATTTATAAGGTAATGTTAAGTGAGGAATGAAGTGAAGAAGGAAGGACGAAAGAGACGTGTTAGAAAGGGATATATACACATAATATGCATATATTCCTACCTACCAGATATTATTGGACCATCATATTATTTGTGATTGTTTTAACTATTATATAAAAGATTAGGTTATATTTAATTTGCCGTTAAAAATTAAAGAAAAATAAAATATTAAAGCACTATGGATTAGGTTTTTGGTTAGAGAGATTTATTAATTAAATGCAATTTTTACATTGAATTGCCGATATTACAGTGTTTTTTTTAATCAGAAAAACAAATTATTAATTGATTAGAGGGCTAAAAAAGCTCAGCCTCAATACATACGATATAAATATATAATTACTTTATCTATAAATAACTTTAATTGGATATAATATTAGCAAAATATATATATATATATATATATATATATATATATATATATATATATATATATATATATATATATATATATATATATATAACAACTTATTATTAATAAAATGCTCATTAAATTGAGAGGAATCAAATAAAATCCAACATGACTATGCTATATTTTATGTATCAAGAGTAATTTAGAAGATTGTTTGATCTTCTAAATAGTGCCAAGATTGCAAATGGGAATTGAAGAACAAAAAGAAGTAGAGGGAATACTTTACATTCTACATACTATCCCCATAATTGTACTCATATAGTCTAATGTGATGAGTAACTTAATTTGAATCAATGCAACATAATAATTAAACAACCTCATTTTAATTTTCAACCAATTAATCTCTTTTGACCTTTTGCTAAAGTGTAAATTAAATCTTAAATACGAGTACATGATACGCATCTTACTATGATCTCAAACATGTAGTTCAGATACTAAGTTAAAATACTAAGTAATAAATAAACATATCCCATTTTGGTAGCCTTTTGAAAAGTGACTACCACAAGCCTAATGATGTCGCATAATTTGATTGGAGATAAGCTATGTCATCTTTGACGTTTCAAAGCTTTTTTTTTTTTTTTTTTTTTTTTTTTTTTTTATTTTTTTTATTAAAAATACGTAGTTTTTACTTCTAAAATACTTTTTTTAATTTTCAAATTTGTTTTTTTATAATTCAAAATTTCTTTTTTTGATTTCTTAATTGATTTCAGAAAATCAAAAATAAAAAATAAAAAACAAAGACTGTTCTTCATTGTTCTTCATCCAAAATCAAAACTTTCATGCAAATTTGTCACTATTATGCACTAATTCTTTCAATGTTTCACTTTGAAGTTTGATCTTTAAATTCCTTCATCAATTTGTTTGGTAGCATTTCGAATTTTTTCACTTTTTGATTTTTAGGTTTTTGTTCTTAAAAATCTCAACCAAAATCATATTATTACGTATCTGTTAAGGATGAATTACCCGCATATGTGTTTGGCTATTTCGCGGCGGTCGGCGGCATGGTGGTTTAGGTTGAATGATTGGTGTTCTTCCGAATGTATGATTGGAGAAGACAACTATTCATTTTTTTGTTTCGTCCCTATTATTTGATCTGTAAAAATGTAAATAATTTGTCGCGAACTTGTTTGTGGCTTAGGTAATGACCTAAACTCTTTTAGGTCATTACCTTTGGAAAACAGTGTTTTATATGTTGTGGTAATGACCTTATTATATTATGGACATGACAAAATATTAGGAGAGTGTCCACTATCTAGGATAGTGTAAGTAGTTTAATTATACTTTTGATATTGATAGCAATATATGTTACAAAAATAAAACGAAGTTAACTTATTTTACTAATTATATCGCATGATTATTTATATTGTAATTCTATAACATAAAATTGGCAATGTTTAATTTTATAAAATTTGCCATATACTTACACTCTTCTAAGATAGTGGACACTCTCCTAATATTTTGTCATGTCCATAATATAATAAGGTTATTACCAGAACATATAAAACACTGTTTTCCAAAGGTAATGACCTAAAAGAGTTTAGGTCATTACTTAAGACACAAACAAGTTCGTGATAAATTATTTACATTTTTACGGATTAAACAGGGACGAAAACAATTAACGAATTGTTGTCTTCTCCAATCATACATTCGGAAGAACACCAATCATTCAACCTAAACCACCATGCCGCCGACCACCGCGATATAGCCGAACCTATGCGGGTAATTTATCCTTAACAAATACATAATAATGCATTTTTGGTTGAGATTTTTTTATTAAGAACAAAAAACTAAAAATCAAAAACTGAAAAATTCGAAATGCTACAAAACAAATTGATGAACGAAATTAAAGATCGAACTTCACAGTGAAACATTGAACGAATTAGTGAATAATAGTGACAAATTTGCATGAAATTTTTGATTTTGGATGAAGAAAATGAAGAACTAACGAACAATGAAGAACGATTTTTGTTTTTAATTTTTTAATTTTGATTTTTAATTTAATTTTGATTTTCTAACAAAAATTAAGAAATCAAAAACAGAATTTCTGAAATTATAAAATATAGTTTTCGAAAATTAAAAAAACAATTTCAGAATTAAAAAAAAAAGAGTTTTAATTAAAAAAACTTTGAATAGTCAAAGATGGCATGGTTTATAACATCCAATCAAATTATGCCACATCATTAGGCTTGTGGTAGTCACTTTTCAAAAGGCTACTGTAAAATTTTCACATTTTCAGGTTTATATTCATTCGTTTATCACAATGCATGTCATGTTCTTTTATCACAATTTTACGTTATTTCAATTTAATTTAGATTTTTTTTTTTTAATTAAAGATTATGATGTACATCTTACTCTAAGATGTACGTATGATTTAATTATTGAGTTCCTTTTAAGTTGCCAAATATGCTGTAAATTCAGGCAATTTTGCTAACAATGCCTTGATTATTCTACAAAATCTAACTTATTCATTCTCATATACTAATAGAAGTTATAGAACTATGTTAGTAGTACTTATTTTTAAGCTTTTTTGCATTTGAACATTATTGCCTCTGAGATATGTAGCCTATGATGTTATACCATAAACGTAATCAATATTGAATAAGCAATTGTAGATTAACTAGAGCAACTATTTATTTTTTGATAATAATGCAATTCATGCTTGAAAACATATTCTCTCTTGCTCTCAAGTAAATTAGTTTCAAGTTAAGGCCTCTTTTACAAGAAGAGCTAGCTTTGCCACACTTTCAGTACTGATCAACTAGTAATACTACATGATCAACTACAATTATAATTGAAAAATAAACTTGGTCACAAATTTTGTTTGTTTTTTCAATTTCGACATTAATTGAACTATTGGTATGGAAAATGGAAATATAAACACCGCACTTTGTACAAACTATCACCTTCTCTCTAAATGAAAATAATACAAGTGTCGAATATCATCATTGTTAATTAAACGACGCTTCATGTAAAAATTCTTTTAACATATAGAGTTCAACCGGTAACTAGCTAGCCATTATATATACTACGTATACTCAAATAATGTAATAACTTTTTCCGGACATCATCAATCCTAAAACTAACATGAATGTGGAGTACTTCGTATATGATTGGTATTCGTAATTCCAATCCGAAAAGCTAAGTTTTGATGTATTGAAGGCCTGTTACTTCACTGATGACAACCTAGAAAATCTAATTCATCAAAATAAAAACAGTAGTTGATGCGAGAGGAATCCTCGTATCATATTAAATAATAGATAGAGTAAATTTCCATATTTAGGTAGGTACATCCAAGCTAGGGTGTAACAAAGCTTCCTGATATAGTCGAATTAAATGCTGCATATAACTTTGGAATGAAATATTAAAGTGGTCTCACGTAAATTACCGTGGGATCAATATTATTTACGCATATATGTTATATATGCATGTATACAAATAATAACGTGTATCGTATACCCTCGAACGCGCTAGCTATTAAGAGAACGATCCACAAGGCCTGACTTTTTCTCTATCTATATCATGCATGTCATGCTGTATTTTTCATCTTCTTTACGCATTTTTATTTGTGACTCAACACTCAACTTATACTAGCGGAGGAGAGATGATAGAGTATACAAATCAATTTTGGGCTTTAACCGTCAACTTAAGCTTTTGATTGAGTTGATTTTCTAATAAATCGACGATGCATTAACATATAATTAATTAAGGCTTAGCCTATGTTTGATCTAGCGTGTTAGATAAAGGGGAGTGTAAAGATGATTATGGATTATGTCATACCCTGGCCCATGTCGAGCCCACCTCCCTTGTTGCTGGCTAGGTTCAATCCATAACCCTACCCGTTTGCATTTACTTTCTTTCTATCACTCTTCTCATCACATGGGTTATACATTTAGCTCTTTCTATCTCTCCCATCTTTTTAAAAACCGTGCCTACCTCCCTTGTTGCAATATTAAGGGAATAGAAGAAGTATTTTTTTTTATTTACTCACTTTTTGAATGTTTCTTTTTATTTTAAATGCTCATACTTCCTATTTTATATATACGACCTATCACTTTTTTTCTTGCAAATAATACTATTTTTTTTACAAAAAATTAATTTCCATTTAAAGAGAAGTGTGTAAACTAAATAGAAATGGAAAGGAGTGTACGTCTTATGTTTCGAATTGAATGTTGCGTATGAATTATGACAACGCGACTTCTCTTTGTTTTTACTTCGTATAACATTATCAAGTGACAACTTTATTTTATTTTATTTTGTTAAGAAAAATAAAAGAAATGAAGCCTTATAAGAATGTATGTGTTCATTTCACGTGAAAAACTTTGCTACAAAAGAATTATTGGCGAATGACAAAAGGTCGTGACAAAATTGAAGTTCATTTATTGAAAATTCATGTTCATTGTTTGAAAGTCGTGATACAAGTTCATCTTCATTGTAAACATATCATGTTCCCCTTATCTCATCTAAATATCCACTACTAGAAGAGTTACTAAAATAACTCATGCAACACCCTCAACCAACAACATCCTCTAACTTCCCCGAGCAAAGCAACCACCATCCCCGCCACCGCAAATTTCATGT